TACACCACTAAATTACAGTTGGTATTTCTGTTTCGTAAATTCCAGTGCTCTGTCACTCGTACGTATATTATGTTATGTACATATGTTAATAGAAAATATTTTTGTTAATAAAATGTTGAATGAAAGCGTTAATTTAAATTATAATATAACGAAATTGAATCGGGAAAATTGTTACTTGTAACACTTGTAATTTTCAGTTAAAATGGATCTGTTAGTATTATTATTTTAAAGTGCATTATTATTTACAATAAACTATTATAAAATGTTGCTATTTTTTAAATTAATAATGGATTTATTAAGGAACTGAAATTTAGTTAAGATTCACGTAATATAATTGATCTTGCTAGACTTTAATTGGTGAAGGACGATCGGTATTAAAGCGTAATTCTTTACCGATTGCGCACCGCGGCGGCATGTGACGTCACGCATCACCGCCCCGCGATGCCTTTCGGGAAATAGCGTCGCCATCTTGAGTGGCATGGCCCAGCTAGACAGTGCGCCCTGAGCAAAGACATGCGATTTATCGCGAAAACATTGAACGTCCCGAGAATCACGGATTCCTGTGAATCATAGCAGATCCTTGGTGCTTCGCACCTTCATCAAAATGGAGGCGGTTAAGGCATTTAATGCGGAGGTGAGCTTATTCTTACCCTCGATTCTTCTTCTAGCCCGCCGACTCTCCCTCTTCCTTTTTTCTCTCGTTTCTCCTCTTTCCGTTTCCCTTTACGATATTTCTGTTTCGAAGTCGTAAGCAACACATACTGTGAGATAGATTCCTAGAAGAAATGCTCTTCTCAATGTTCTTTAGTGATCGTGATATCAGGATTCGAGTGATGCTGTGTTCGACGAATGCTTTGATTTCTAGTCCCTATGCAAGAGAGGGGGAGAAACTATCTCTATACGCAGGCAAGAGGGAGAGTAGTGAACGAGAATCTTTATTATGATTTAGAGTGTTTTTGTGATATATGATTGCGGTAGATATTGTTATTAATCAAGATTTATGACATTGGTTAGATGGTGGGAAGAAATAAATATTCTAATATTTGTGTGTTTAAAGAAAGGTGATAACAGGGGGGAAGAATGAGGAAGAAGAGTATAAGGGGTAGTAACAACTTCTATGATTTATATTAATAATATTAGTGGTTATTTTTGCTACTATATTTTAAATGGTTAAATTTGGAAACAAGTATAATTCAATGCTTTCGATATCTTAATGTAAATATAGATGTTTGTATGTGTATAATGACATAAAGTATAAAAACTAAATTACATAATATATACA